CACTTGGAGATCTCAGAGATAGGTTGTTGGAATGGAATCCTTGAGAAGAATTAAATTAAATGGGCTAAAGGACTTTCGTCATTTCACCTTTACTTTTGATCTTGTAATTGTCTGCTTTCAGTGGGTATGTTTTGCCAGGGTGGATCTGAAGGCATCAAGATAGCAGAGCATGTCGGTGGAAAATCACTATTATCTATTATAGGTTGGGAATACTAGTGCCTGAGTATCGTAGAACAGTCAAATTGGTAGAACAAGTGCTGTCTAACCTTCTTAAAGTTGTAACAAAGCAGACAGAACAATCCACATTCCTTCGGTCCCATTACTTTCATGATGTGTAAGAGGGAGAAGGGTGTGTGGGATCTAAATGAGAAAATCTATAAATAAATACATTGGGGCTGAGATTTCTCATGCTCTTAGCCTTAATTTGGATAGATATTTGTTAGATCAGGATATCAAGGGATACAGGGCAAGGGCAGGTAATTGGCGTTGAGGATCAGTATGTTTCCAGGCCAACGAGAAAAGATTAGCTGGTAACATTAAAAAAGGAACTCTAAGGTATTTTATAACCATATAAAGAATAAAAAATTAGTCAATGGTAGGGTGGAGGCAGAGCTCATGGCTGATGTGTTGAATGAGTATTTTGCATCTGTCTTCACAAAAGAAGAGGATGCAGCCAATGCCAAAGTATCAGAGGAGAGGGTAGAGAAATTGGATAAGATAAGAATAAATCGAGAGAAGGTATTAAAAAGGTTGTTGGTGCTCCAGGGAAATAAGTCACCTAGTCCGGACGGGATGCATCCTAAATTATGGAGGGAAATGAGGGTGGAAATGAGGGAGGCTGAGGCCACAATCTTTCAATCCTCCTTGGACAATGGGGTGGTGCCAGAGGACTGGAGTTTTGCAAATGTTACTCCAAAAAGGGGCAGAAGGATAAACCCGGGAATTATAGGCCAGTCAGCCTAACGTCAGTTGTGGGGAAACTTCTACAGATTATAATCCGGGACAAAATAAAATTTCACTTAGAAAAATATGGGTTAATAAAGGACAGCCAACATGGATTTGTTAAAGGCAAATCATGTCTAACAAACCTGATAGAGTTTTTTGATGAAGTAACAGAGATGGTGAATGAAGGTAGTGCAGTTGATGTATTTTATATAGATTTTCAGAAGGCACTTGATAAAGTGCCACATAAGACACTTGTAAGCAAAATAGAAGCTCACAGTATTAAACATGGCAGCATGGACACAGAAATGGCTGGGAGACAAAAAGCAGAGAGAGGTGGTGATCGGTTATTTTTCTGACTGGAGGGGAGTATGCAGTGGTGTCCTCCAGGGGTCGGCATTGGGCCCACTGCTGTTTTTGATCTTTTTAAATGACCTGGACTTGGGTATAGGGAGTACAATTTCCAAGTTTGCAGATGATGCTAAGATAGGAAAAGTAGTAAACAGTGAGAAGGATAGTAGCAGACTGCAAATGGACACAAACAGACTGGTATAATGGGCAGACACGTGGCAGATGAAGTTTAATGTGGAGAGATGCAAAGTCATGCATTTTGGGAGGAAGAATGAGGAGAGGCAATATAAACTAGATGGTAGAATCTTAAAGGGGTGAAGGAATAGAGAAACCTGGGTGTTTATATAAGTAAATCTTTGAAGGTGGCAGGACAGGTAGATAAAGCTGTTTCTTAAAAAAAAGCATACGGGACACTAGGTTTTATAAATAGGGGCATAGAATAAAAAAGTCAGGAAGTTATGATGAACCTTTATAAAACACTGGTTAGGCCTCAGCTAGAGTACTATGTTCTGGTCTGGGCACCACACTTTAGAAAGGATGTCAAGGCATTGGAGAAGGCGCAAAGGAGATTTACCAGGAGGGTACCAGGAATGAAAGACTTCAGTTATCAGGAGAGGCTAGAGAAGCTAGGATTATTCTCATTGGAACAGAGAAGGGTAAGAGGAGATTGAATAGAAGTCTTCAAAGTGATGAGGGATTTGATAGGGTGAACAATGAGAAACTATTTCCACTGGTGGATGGGTCAGTAACCCGAGGACACTGATTTAATATAGTTATTAAAAGAAACAGAGGTGAGAAGAAATTTTTTTACACAGTGAGTTATTCGGATCTGGAATGCACTGTCTGAAAGGTTAGTGGAAGCTGATTCGATAACAACTTTTAAGGGAGAAGTAGATAATTATTTGGGGAGTTTGGAGGGGGAGAAAGTGTGGGAGTGGGATTGATTTGGATAGCTCTTTTCAAAGATCCAGCACAGACACAATGGGCTGAATGGCTTCCTTCTGTGCTGTATAATTCTATCATTCTATGCAGATTCATAATTTAAAATTGCATACAATTTATTGGTTAGCAGCGCACGGAGACAAATTCGCATAATTTACAAAAGGAGCAGAAAATCTGGTTTAAAAATTTGTTTCCCGTGTTTTTTGTTGTCATTCCGTCTTTGAAGACTTTCTGTTTTATTCATAGCTTCGCTGTGTGCGGAAGTTGACTCTCAGAGGATTCATTGATATCAAACGTGTCAAACCATAACAATGAATTAAACTCTGAGTCATGAGTCAATGTCGCAATCATCATCACTCACACACCTTTCATCAGGGACACGTAATTAGTAACTTCCGGGCCTGAACTGGAAACCTGTAAACACAGGTCATCATAGAGACACACCCTATGATCTGAGATCATCCCTAATCCGAGTAAATACAAAACGTCTCAGTGTTATCTACAGAATGAGCTGTTCTCAATTGTTCATTCTCCTGTTCACAGACACATCCTTTTAGAAAAACTGCTGGTCCTTGAACAGAGGACAGATCATGTGATTGCTCTAAAAGGGCTCAAAGTCTTAATATAATTATAGCCGCACCAACCCTACAGCCCGTACACGCCAGATGGTTTAAAGAGTGCTCTTTATCCAAGGCTTGTAAAACTGAAAGTTCAACATTACATAGCATTAAAATTAATATTTCAGCACAGAAACAGGCCAATTAGCCCAATTATTCCCTGCTGGTGTTTATACTTCACATGAGCTGCTCTCCTGCACTCTTCCATTCCCTTTTCCCTCAGTGGAGTCCTGTACCTCAGTAGTTAGAGCACTTGCCTCGCAAGCGAGAGACTTGGGTTCAATTTCCGGGCAAGGCGAAATGTTGAGCAAGTTTCCTCACTCCACTTGTCTCTGTTTACTTAGCAGTAAGTAGGAAACTGGTTGTTAATTGATTGGCGGATTGCTTTTCGGGGGGTAATAATTCCCTCAAAAATAATTAAATTGGTCACTCAAACTACAACTGTTTGTGGGACACTGCCGTGCACAATTGGCTGCTGTGTTTTGCCCAAAAAATATACAATCAAGTCACTTTACAGTATATTATGTGCAGCCCTTTGAGACATTTCAGAGACGTGATAAGGCACCCTATCAAATGCAAGGATTATTATTATTATGTATGCATCAGATTTCCCCTGAAATACATTGATATATTTTGCTTCAAGCGCATCGTCCCCTGCCCATCCCTCTCTGATCCCAACCCGCAGCTCTCGGTGCAAACCCCTCATTTTCCAGCAACTTAGGACATCCTCCTGATGAGAAAGGAGCTACATAAATGCAATTTGTTGTTGTTGTAGCTTCCGGCAATGAGTTCCACATTCTCTTCAGCCAAGAGAGGAATATTCTCCTGAGCTCCCCTTTAGATTTGCTATTGCCTATCTTATATTGATGTTGCCTCGAATTTGGACTCACCAACAAGTGGACACAACCATCAGCGTCCATCGGATCAAATCCGTTAATAATATTAAACACCTCTATCAGGTCCTCTCTCAATTGTGCCAGCTCTAGAGAGAAAAGCTCAAACGTGTACCATCTGTTTTGATGCGCATCATAATAAAGCATGGCAAGCCTAGAATTAGAGTTTCTCTGTATGAGCGTTCCTTAATATAGAAGTTGTATTTACATTTATATAGTGCGTTTCAACAGCAACAACAACAATTACGTATATAGAGTACCTTTCACGTCGGGAGGACGTCCCAAAGTGCTTCATTTACAATATAAACCCCTCATGGTGTTCTGTGTTAATGAACAAATGCTAAGAGGTGTACCTCATGCATTTCTGTGAAGACGGCTTCCTTTATAATAAAAGGAGAGAAGACAAATGTAAAGAATGGGTTATGCCGGCTGTTCCAGTGATGATCATTGTAATATTTACTAACTGTGAGGTACTGTTAGGAACCATAAAGCAACCTATCTCTTTGCACCCATTTTACTTCACATTTTCTTACAAGCAGAAAAACGTCTACATGAAACAAACTGAATTCTATTACACAATGCGGGGGAGAAATTCCATCCCAGGTGTAGATTTGCTCTATTTATGTAGAAATCAGAAATGCCCTGAATTGACAATTGACAAATCGTTGAATTCAGCCTCAATTTCAGAACTGCTTTTCAGTAGTTCTTAAAATAAATCAAGCAAAACCCAGCTTCAAAATTAAGTCTGTGTTTAAAAATTTGCTAAATACTCTGCTGGATTCTCTGAAATGTTAAGAAAGTGGAGTGCTGTAGGTCAGTGGTTAGAACACTCGCCTCGCAAGCGAGAGACCTGAGTTTGATTCCCGGCGAGGCGAAACCTTGGGCAATTTTCCCTACTCCACACCTGATAATAATCCCTCAAGAAAAGAAAACAATAATGAATTGGTCACTCAATCCGTGACTGTTTTGTGGGACACTGCTGTGCAGAATTGGCTGCTGCATTTCGCCCACAAATATACAGTCAATTCACTTTACAGTATATTCTGTGAAGCGCTTTGAGATGTCTAGAAGACGTGAAAAGCACTATATCAAATGCAAGGATTATTATTATTCAAATTGAATAAATCTAGACCCAGGTGGAATTTCTCCCCGTCCTACAAGCTTTTATGTCCACAAAAATGTACATCTGATACAAAATATATGGCAAAGCTGTATGGCCCACTTGTGACGTGGCAGCCAGTACAGAAAAACTAACCTGAGAAACCTGATGTTAGACACCTGCTTTTCACCAAAGTACTTGTAAATCCTCGATTTTCTTAGCAAAGGAAATAACAACACCACTGATCAAAACTTAAGGCTGCATTTTGAACACAGGTACATTTGTTGCTGCAGTCAGCTCGTCTCAGGTTCATTTGCTTTTACTTTTAATTTCCTTGTATCTTGCCTTAGTTCTCACATAAAGTTAATTATTGACTTTGTTTTGTAATAGATGAATTTGACAACACCCACAATTAATTATATTCCCGTGCCCTTAAAGGTTTTTTATAAATTATTTAATCCCTGCAGCTGCCCTAAAAGTACAATAAAACGCTGTGATCAACAGGGGTTTCAACTTTTTTTGTGGAGTGGAGAAAACTTGAAAGGTGAAGCTGAATATCAAACGACCCTTACTTTGCCACTCATGCACAGTACTCTGTCACCACTTGTAGCACAGAGTTCTGAAAGGCAGGGCGATAGTGAGTGAATTGGGACTGCTCGCAGCCTCAAGGCACAGGAAATCCATCGCCACTCATGGGGAACATTGTGTTTTTATCCACATTATTAACATGCCATTGCTGTACTCCCATGTCTCCCCTTGTGGAAGAATATATTCAAGTATGCATAACAGGATATAAAACACACATACTTTTTAAACCCAAGCTTGACCTGATCACTGTTTCCTCCTTGTAGCTCACCCTCATCTTTACTCTTTTCAACTTTGCTGGTGGCCTGCATAGATGGGCCTTGCCCCTTAACCAACAAGTCAAACTGCAACACTTCAACTGTATCGGGGAAAGAAAGAGAAACTCAGTGTGTGTGTTATATCAGAAGTCAGATGAAAGAGTGATATAGTTAGTGATAGTTGGTGGTATAGCTACTGGTATAGCTGGAGTGGTATAGTTAGCACTATAGTTAGAGCAGTACAGTTAGTGGTTAAGTTAATGGTATAGTTAGTGTGGTATTGTTAGTAGTATCATTGATGATAAAGTAAAACATTTCTAATTGCAATAAACAGGATCGATTTTGTGGTATTTAGTAACAGATTTCTTAATAAACAAGTCCAAATGAAGTCTCCTTCCATTATGCGAGCACAACACTTTATCTTGCAATGAAAATAGATTGAGTTGGGAGTGGCATTTCCCTACAAAGACCTTGCAGACTTCCAAATGTCTTAACTGAGAAATTGTCGCCAAATTAACCTCTTTATTACATTCAAAACTGTCTTAAATGCCATCTATATAGAAAGATAGACTTGAAGAAGTCAGACACGAACATGCATTAAAGACCATCTGTAACAACCACCCAAAGTCATTGCCATAGATGATCACACAGGTTTGGCTGTACAAGAATCAGACTTGTGTACAGAGAGACAGAGAAATCTGTCAGTACGATGGGTGAGCAGCCACTTTCATGACCTGAGGCATGTAGACAAAGACGCATTCTTCTACAGATCTGAGAAAGGGCATTCTTTGTCAGGTTAGGGTCTTTCTAAGGAAGGGAAGAATGCTAGAAATGATGAATAAGTCAAAGGAACAACAAAAGATATGAAAGTAACACCTCAAATTCCAAGGAATTCCTAAAAGACAAAAAGCACTGTGGTATTGCTGTAAAGGGAGCTGGAAACAAGTTGAACAGGCATATTTGTACTTTGAGATATGTATGCTGTGGCAGTGCTGTAGATATAGAACAACATATTTTGGGTACCCGAGTGTGAAAGTGGGATTCAGATGTATTAATGATGCAGTCGGTTTAATGCCTTCTGCATATTGAAGTAGAGGGATTCAAGGGGCCAGAATGGTATCATATTGCACACTCACATCACTCAGTTTGCAGTCAATTCAACAAACCTCTTCCAAACGAAGATTCTGACATCAGCATTGGGATCGAGTGGCCTGGGTCATTCCAGGTTTGCAGCATAGAAGGTGGCCATTAGGTCCAGTGTGTCTGTGCCATTGCTACTTGTTTTTCTCAGTGATTGTTTTCACTAATCCCACTTTCCAGCTCTTTCCCCCTAACCTTTAATGATTCTTGCTTACTTAATTCCCTTTTGAAACATTCTATTGATCAAATCTTAAAAGCCATTTCTGGCAATGAATTCTACACACTTACAATCCTCTGAGTGAAGCAATTCCTTTGAAGCTCTCTCTCTCTCTCTCCTAACTGTCAAACTAACCTCCACATTGAGACTAAATGTAAGACTTTTCTAACTACAACAACAAAATGACATTTATAGAGCGCCTTACACGTCGGGAGGATGTCCCAAAGCGCTGAGCAGTCAGGTGTCGAGGCCCGAGCATGGGGGAGGGGGGGTCGTGTAGGGGTGAGGGAAGGCAGAGAGGTAGGAGGGAGACCAAAGGCACGGTCGGAGAGAAAGGTCTTGAGACCGACCTTGAAGCAGGCAAGGGAGGAAGCAATGCGAAGGGATCGTGGGATGGAGTTCCAGAGTATGGGGGCAGAGAGGCTGAAAGCCCGGCCACCGATGGTAGAGCGGGTCGGGTGGGAGACATGGAGCAGGCCAGAGCCTGATGAACGGAGGGAGCAGGCAGGCTCGTAGCGAGTCAGCAGGTCCAAGAGGTAGCAGGGAGCAAGTCCATGGATGGCCTTAAAGGTGAGGACGAGGATCTTGCACTCGATCCTCTGGGAGTCGGGCGAAGGTGGGAATGATGGGGTCGCGGAGCCTGGTGCGTGAGAGTACATGAGCTGCAGAGTTTTGGATGTTCTGCAGCTTGTGAAGGGAAGAGTTGGGAAGGCCGATGAGGAGGGAGTTTCTATAATCGAGCCTTGATGTGATGAATGCGTGGGTGAGGGTTTCGGCAGCCTGAGGGGTGAGGCAGTGGCAGAGTCTGGCAATGTTGCGGAGGTGGTGGTAGGCAGTGCTGGTCATGGTGCAGATGTGGGGGAGAAAGGACAGTTCAGGGTCAAACAAGACACCCAGGTTCCTGTCTGTCTTAGTGAGGTTGAGTGTGCAGCCGTGGAGGCTGATGCTCCCAGCGCCTGAGGTGCGGAGGTGCTGGCACGAGCCAATCAGGAGGGCCTCAGTCTTGCTGACGTTGAGTTGGAGAAAGTTGTCCCTCCTCCAGGACTTGATGTCGGACAGCAGTTGGTCAGGACGCCAGTAGTCCTGGAGTTCAGGGTGGAGGCAGAGAGATAGAGTTGGGTGTCATCTGCATACATGTGCAAATTTACCCCATGTCCACAGATGATGTCACCAAGGGGAGCGTGTAGATCTGCATCATGTCACATTTCAAGACCATGGTTTCAAGAGGGTATTCCCCCCTCAGATGCCATGCTCAGCCCTTACACCTCAATTTTTTTTAAACAATTTGATGCAGAAATAATAATTTGTTTTCGAATCAATGTCAAAAAGGAAATACTATATAACTGGGCATGACAAAACAGGCACAAGAGATTGAATACCTACTTTTGTTCCTGCTTACTGCTGGCAATTCCAGTATTACTTGTTGCAAAACAAATACCAGGAATAGGCAGAGTTAGTGGCCAAGGTCCAAACTGATATGGAATGCAGAAATTTGGCTAAACTCCAGTTGGCTAAGTTTCAGATCAATAACCAGGGATCATTTCTGCTGATGAGAATGTAGGAAACATTTTTCATACATTAATATCCTGCATACAAGCTTAGGAATGGATCGCAAGAGCAGTTTGAAGGACTGGAAATGGCATTGAGAAAGTAAACCCAGAATAATACTTTCAGAATGTCCAGCACAGCAATATAAGGAACGCAGGTTCAAAGTACCATAGAATCCTACAGCAATTGGGTCTATCATGCCTGTGCCGGCTCTTTGAAAGAGCTATCCAATTAGTCCTCTTCCCTGCTCTTCCCCCCGAAGATACTATGCGTTCTGGGACACTACTTTGGGTGCATACTATAAAAATGCAAATTGTTGTTGTTTCTCCATAGCTTTGCAAACCTTTTCTTTTCATGTATATACCCAATTCCCTTTCAAAGGGTGATTTTAGGCAGATACCAGGAAGGATTTTTCTCACAGAATGATAATTAACAGCAGGTCGATACATGGTCAAGATATGTAAAAAAAAACACCCTGGTGCTGTGAGGAGAAGACAGTACTGTGCTCTCCCACACCATCTCTATCCTCATCTCTTTCTTAATTAAAATCGAGAGGATTCATTTAGCTGCCTCTGGCTCTACCCAGCACCATGAATGTCCTGGTGAAAGTCACCACTGAAGTACTTTATATCACTAACCAGAGTTCCCTTTGCCTACTTAAGCTCTTTGACCTCTCTGCCACCTTTGATACCAAAGATCAGGATGGTCCAACAGGCGGTCCACGGGCCTTATGTGGCCCGGCAGATGCTGTAATCTGGCCCGAGACCATTTCCAACTTCAGGCCGCCTGCTCCCTCCCTCCTCGGCGAATGTCCTCTCATGGCAGCAGCAGGAGTCGGTGGTTGGGGGGGACGCAGCACGGGGGGAGTGGAAATAATGGCGGCTGTTACCGTGGTGGGGTGAGAGAGGTGGAGGGTAAAGAAGGCAGGGGCAGTGGGGAGAGAGAGTTCTTAGTGAGGGAGAGAGAGGGAATGATTAAGAGAGGGAGAGAGAGAATGAGGGGAGAGGGATTAAGCGAGAGATAGAGAGGGCAGAGAGAGTGATTGAGAGAGTGACGGGGAGGGGGAGAGAATGAGGGTGAGGGGGAGAGAAAGAAACGGACAGAGGGTGGGATAGAGCAGAGAGTAATGATTGAGAGGGGGGAGAAAGAGTGTGTGTGAGAGAGAAGGGAGAAAGGGAGAGGGAGCCAGTAACTAAGGAAGAAAGAGTGTATGAGAAGGATGGGGAGAGAGAGATTGTGTGAGAGAGGGTCTGAGATGGAGGAACTCAGAGAAAAAATGAGAGAGAGAATGTGTGTGAGAGAGGGATAGAGAGTGCGTGAGAGAGTACGCTGTGAGAGAAAGAGTGACTGAGAGAGAAAAGGAGAGTATGAATGAGAAGGGTAGAGCGAAAAACAAAAAGAGTGAGAGAGAGAGAGAGAGAGAGTGAGGGAGAGAGAGAGTGAGAGAGAGAAGTAAGGGTAGCGTTTCATGGTTCACTGTCAGGACAGATTTGTTCTTCAGATAGACATGAAACTGAGGTGCAATCTGCTTGTTTAGCTGGATGTTAAA